TGGTGGGATGTCAGGTGGTTGTAGGAAAGTTTAATATGACAAAAGTTATGCACATGTTGGACGCTTCTTTTTTTTTCTGTTGTTCTTTTCATGGGCGAGAAGGAGTCACGTGTTGCACGGAAAATGGAATTTGTAAAAGTTATGACACTTATTTCATGTAACAGCTGCAGTTTTTAATTTTTTGTTACAAATATAAATAGTGGAATATAGGCAAAGAACAAAAAAGTGCTTTTTGGGTTGTAAAATAGAAAAAATATTGTTTTTTAAATTAAAAAGGTCAAATTTTAGAGAGACTTGTTTTTTTGTTACTAAAACAATAAAAGAAATAACAGCTTTATAGGCAACCAACAATGTTTTCCATCTGTTAAATATTAAAAACATTGTTTTTTAACAGAATAGGTTAATTTTAAGAAGCTTTATGGATTTTTCTTTTCATAAATAACAAAAAAAGTTTGTTTTTCTTCTGTTTTTTATATTTTGGGTAAAAATATGAAATATAAAAAATTATTTAATAAAGTATTGCAGAAAAGTTGTTCTGGTATTGTATTTAATGCATTTATTGTTGCATTAGTGTTAAATTACAGTTTTCAACTTTTCACGAGTCACATGTTGCATAACGGAAATATTAAAAGTTGTGAAACGTAATTCATGTAGCAGCTGTAATTGTTGGTTATAAGTAAAAATAGAAATAATATAGGCAACCAACAATTCAATTTTAAAACCCCAAAAAGCCTATAATAAAATTATTTGGATATAACATTATTCCTTTTTATTAATATTGATATAAGACCTGAAATATTAATATTTTATTTTGAAAGTCATAAAACGGTCTTAAATTAGGATTACGATTGAGTTGTCATAAAAGCGTAATGTATTCTTGTCCTCCGGCAGCGTCTACCGAGATGAAGAAACAAAGAAAAGCCGAAACTACTGCTATATAGATTTCGGCGAACGCGAGTTCTTAAATAAGCGCAGTAATATTTTACGAAGGGAGTTTTACAGCAAAATCCACTCTCATTTATATTTGAGATAAGAACGGAGTGAACCAATGTCGTTTCAAATCAATTTTCCATCAGTCATTCAATATCTCGCTTTTACATTTTTGTTAAATATTAAATAATTACTTTTTTCTACTTCCACCTTTTAAACCGTTTGATTTTTTATGGTTTTGAGACATAAAAAGTTGTACTTTAAACACGGAAAGCTAAAGCCGTCACTAAAGTACTTTAGTCACAGTTTTTAGATACGGGCTGAAACTTGCGCCTTTCAAATACAAAAATCTTGACATGAAAATAGAGTAGAAATAGAAAAAAGGTTAAAACACGCATGGCTAAACTTCATTAAACACTCGATTGATTAAACACTCGCTACGGTTGTACTGAATCAATGACAAAAACTTCCGTTTAGCCACTTGATACTTAATATACTATAAAGTATAATTTACAAAATTGTTTTAATGATTTTAACAGTTTAATATACTTTGTGACATTGTATAAATTTAAAAAATGTTTACTCTGCACCATTATTTACCGTGCGTATTATATACCCACATCAATCTAATTTAATTAAACATTTTTTGTTACTTTTGTAAAGTGTCTGAATAATTCTCAAACATTTTCATTTAATTTTTTACCGCTTCACCTATAATCGACCCATAAAAACCGGTGTAATGCTAATATTTGCACCGAAATGAAAAATATTACTTTATAAAAAAGACGTGCGGGCGCACACAAAAAATCTCGTCTCCCACGATGAGCACAATGAGTTTTGTGTGGGAATTTCAATATTCGACTGTGTTGGCGACGTCGTGCGTGAAGTGCGGAGCGACATTTGCCCTTTTCGTATTGCGGCGTTCGTAAAAAAGCATATTTATCACTCGGGTTAGAGTGGAATTTACGTGCAGGGCAGGCGGGCGGGGTGTAATTCATAAGCGCAACCGGCAGCCCTAATGCTAACGCAAACTTGTAAATCAACTGCATTGCCCGGCGCCTTCACTATTAACTATTAGTTGCGGCGGAGCTCTAGGAGCAAAGTGCAGGTTAATTTTTAAATATAAAATATAACCAAAGGAAGTGGAATAGAATTTATGCAAATTATTTGTTTTAAAAATTGAAAATTTTAAAATTTTGAAAAAAAGTTGATTTTCTATGTTCGATTGCAATGTTCTAACATAGGTAATTTATGTTTCTATAGGCAACTAACATTACTTTTATACAAATTTATGTTTATATTTCATTTTAGTGATTTCTTGTAGTAAACATTGCGAATTGTACATTGGAAGTGAATTTTATCAAAGATTCAAATTTCGAATTTCGTACTCTGTGTTCCTGGCTACGCTCCATTCCTCTATTTACCTAAACAATGCCTTTAGTTGGTTCAAAGGGAGTGAATCGATGCAATAGGATGCAGCGCATTCTTCTCTTATTCAAATTCTTTGCTTACGTTTGCATTTATAAAAATTTCAAGCGCTCCAACACTTAGTTTTAATTTGCTTTGTGAAAAATCGGAATATATTTGTGCAAAACGTGTTTTTGTGCTGTAAAGTTTAAAAAACATTGTTATTTTAATCAGAAAAGGTCAACTTTAAGTAGGTACTTAGTTTTTTGTTCCTAAAATAACAAAAGAAGTTTGTTCTACTTATAGGCTTAGGTTTTTTCAACTTTTTTATATTTTGAAACGAAAATATAAATGAAAAAAGCATTTAATTTAGTTTTAGTTCAAAATGACTTTATTTTTGATTATTTTAATAAATATTACTGAAAATATTCAATTCTTCTTGTTAAATTTATTTTAATTTGCAATCATTTACAAAATAAAACATAAATTGACTAAATAATTTGATGTTGAACTCGGAACTTAATATTTTTAAACAAAACAGTTTTATTAAATCACCTAAATTCCCTAAAACTGAAGCAATTTCTGTTGCCGTTTGTGCCGTCGTGCGAGTTGAGCGCACGATTTGTATTTCTATTCGGTTGTCCTCTACGGAGCATTTTTATCAAGATGGGACCTGTTGAGTTAATGTGCCCAGCGGATGCGAGCCGCCTGATTTAGTAAGCTCGCGCGTGGAAGTAGCAGTCGGGTTGTTTGGCACAAATCCCACTCACAATCCGAAATCCGACCGAGTTTTCCATGCGCGAATAATGCAGCCAACGCTTGTATTGCTGTAAAGCGTGATAAGGGGTCAACGTGGTCTAAAAATCATAACGCGGATAGAAAACGTATAGAAAATGACATTTATTTATTTTATCAAAATTATAAAATGCCAAAAATGAAAATTTATATCAAAAACCAATTTTTGGTCGCATTTAATTTAAAAACCAATGTATTTTGTGGGTAAAATTTATATTTTAATTTAAAAATAAATCTAAAAGTATAAAAATATGTTTCGTTTAAAATAAAAATTCTATAAATATTTAATGATGACAATAAATTTGTTCTGGGAATATTTTATTGTAAGAACATTGTTTGCCAACAATGTGAGCTTAAAATATGTTCCATGTTCACGTAAAATGTAAAAGGTAATAACGTCTGGAGCCGAAAAATTATTTACACACCTAGTACAAAAGGGTTATGCTTAAGGGCTGAGCCATAAACTGCCATAATCTTAAAGTAGAGAAGTAGAAGTAGCAGTTTTATGCCTTTTCAGTCTTGCACCATGAATATTTTAATATTTTAAGGTAAACATTGTCTTAATAATAAGCTTCCTAAGTAAAATGCTAATTAAAACGCTTTGCTGTTCCAAAGAAATATCTTTTTGGATTAAAAAAGAATGTAAAGTATGTTGTACATGTTCAGTTCCCTAAATTAAGAAGTATTGCTAGTATTTAACATATCTTTTCTACTTACAACTTTAAAACGCCAGTTTTCCACGGTTTTGAGACCCGAAAAGTGGTACTTAAACCCTGGAATGCCAGTACTGTGACTAAAGCAATTTTGTCACGGGTCTTAGCCACGGGGTGGGGCTTGCACCTGCGCATTTACCTATACAATAGTTCAAATACATAAACCTCAACGGTGAAATAAAGCAGAAGTAGAAAAATATTGTAAGCATCACGTGACTAAACGTTGTTAAACAAAAACTTCCGTTTAACCACTTGATCCTTAATATTCTATTTAAAAATTAAAAGTTTGGTTTTAAATTTTCCACACATTTAATTTTTATTTTTTTTTCCTGCATAAAAATAGCAAGCAACTAAAAATACACATTTTCTATTATCTATTATCTTTACATTCTGCTCGCATATTCTGTTGTCTTCTCTATTCTTGCTCATAAAACAAACACACCACAAAATGTCCGCAATTTTTTGTTCTTCCTCTCGCAGATAATACTTAATCCGGATTTATCTGTGTACATATTTTCTTGCATTATTTATTCACATAATGTGTGCATTTATTTTCGCAGAAAGTCTGCATGTGAAGTTTAAATGACGCGCTTGAATTTATGTTAACATTATGCAAATGCCGCGGATCCTTCGTAATGCTCGATGGACGTGTTTTCACGTGCAATGTGCTGTGTGCAGTATGTGCAGACATACAGTCTATCCAAATATTCCGAACGTAAATGCAAACTTACGCTCGACACTTTAAGTGCTTTCGCTTACTACTGGACGCTGCTAGGGAAACATTCATGCATAAATAAATAATGTGTGCGTTTTTGAATAGTAGATAATATTTTGCATTTTGGTCACGTGGAATAGTTTTTCCAGGACAAGATAGAGTTATTCAAGAAATACTCGGTTATTATATCTAAATTGTTACTATTTAGACGTGGGAGAATCAATAATTTAATCTTTTTGTCACTAGGTGGCAGCACTTTCTTTCAAATTTAGTTATTTTAGTTTTATACCAATGTAAGTTAGTTACAACATTCATAACTCAAGAACGGCTGCATAGATTTTGATGATTTATGATTTTTTAGTTTTGTCTTTCTTCCAGATAGGAGAATCATTATTAAAATGTAAAAAATTATGATTTGAAGGGTGCTAAATAAGACAAAAATTGATATAGAGATTTAATCATAGATATAGTCAAATAATTGAATTCTAGATGGCGTTAAAGTGCATTATTAGCATTTCTCATTTGATTAAAATAAAAATGCAAATTTTATTGCTAAAATCGACACATTCTTGGTCCTAGAAACAAGAAAATATAAATTAATTGCATTTTTACTAAAAGAAATACTCGAATAAAGCAAATTTATACTAAAACAAAAAATAAACTTTTTATAATCATTTGACATGTATTAAAAGTAAGTAATCTCTGTGAGTGAGGTTAGGTTAGGTATTTGTTTACCATGGCGAAAATCCCCGCGACAAATTGTGCGATTGTGCGAATTTCCTGCGGATATGAGCGCGCATTTACGTCGCGATCGGTAAAAGCAATGCTGGCGCCCAAAACGTGCGTTTTACACAACACATCTACTCCAACACACACCCACACATTTTCCTCAATGCAAAGCGTACATTTGCATGTCGACACCTCCGGTTTTGAAACATTGCAACCATTACTTCACGTTCTATACAAATACCTACATACCTACCAACATTCCAACATGGTGGTTGTTGTGCTACTCGGCGCACGACAAATTTAATGCGGAAATAGCTAATATGTCACATCATGCGCGAGCGCGCCGGAATACACTCGTAAAAATCTGATAACCGACGAGCTATGAACTCGTCGCGAATGTGGAAATATAGTAGAAGCATTCATTCATTGTCTACTCGACACGTGAGAATTATATAAATACAAGTTATAGATATATAGATATATAGGCAACCAAAGTTACATGTTATATTATAATTAAAAAGTAAATGACATTGTTGGTTGCCTATATTACTCGTAATACTGATGTTAATTTTCATTTCTTATCTTTTGTGAGCCATTCGCAAAAGTTATAATTAGAACACCGCAATCGCTTATCGATTTAATCATAATCAGACTCTTCGGTTATAAATTTAACCCAAACGACTCTTGGCCATTATCCATTGTAAGCAAATTCGCCAATATTCGGAGGTTGTAGACTTCCAACAATGACTCAACCATCTTATTATCCAGCATACTTGTAAATGTCGGCGCATTCTTTGTGGCTTCTCCTTGTTACACTTGTTCTATGAATACGCGTATATCCCCGCCATCTTCATACTAAAACTCTTGAAATCCACGTTAAGATCGCGCAAATTCGTAATTTGTCTTAATTTATCCGCGCGCTGTTATTCAAGCGATTCTAAAGATTAAATTAACTTTTCATCGCCGTGTGCCGTCTGCGCACGTGGAGAGCCTGATTTTCTAATTATTCAAGGTGACATCTCCGAATGTGAGTTTAGGCAAATGGAGGCCGTAATGAAATTGTGTTTGTGTACATCTTACAAATTTCATTTCATTCAAATCCACGTTGTATTTGTAAATGAAAATCTGGAATTCTAACTTAATATTAAACATGCGCCTTAAATTATACAACTTTGTATACAGAGGTGTAATGTTGGTTGCGTCTAAAGAAATAAATTTTAATGTTGACTAAAACTTAATTAAACGCCACGTCGAGTGGATGCTTAATCAATCAAAGCTGCTTGTCACAATGCGGACAAAGTGATGAATCGAATAATAGTTTCAAGTTTTTTTTTTATACTATTCCCATTACAGGCGGTGAAATTGTCCACTCGACTCTCAACTACACACGCGCCGCACACTATTGCATTATAGAAGACATTTCCGACATTGTTCTGTTAATACGCCGGCTGTGTGGTGTGTTTTTGTCGTCTGCGGTTTGTATTTTCTTCGATTGCGCGCGCGCTTTGTGTTTGATTTATGATCGTCCATGCGTGCTGCCGGCCGCAATTCATACAATACACTCTTCTTACTACTCGTGGTTGGTCGTCGTAAATGTGTTGGTGTTGGTTGTCCGCGTGCAGAAGATGTGTGGTCGCTGTAGTCATTGAAACATGACAATTTGTTAAGACTCAAGCAGCAAACTAGTGAATAAAAGACGCACAGAAATAGAAAACAAAACGTGGCTGGCTATTTCTATTTCTTGGTTTTGCTCTTTGCTTGTTTTCTTTTCGTGCTTGCTTTTGATTTAATGACAAACACATAAATCCCTCATTACTCACCAGAGGAGGAGTGGGTTATGACGGAGGATGAAATATTATCTCATATAATGATACAAATATAATGTAAATAATGTTTTTGTGTATAAATGAATTAGAATAATATTTTTATTTGGGTCAGGGTTGATTATAGCAGTTATTTTATTTTTTGTTTTGGTTGTTGTTTGAAATGACAGAGATGATAAAGTACTGAGATAATTTCACGTTCAACTTGCAAGCGCATGTACTTTTGCGTATAATCCGATCTTAATTTCGCGGATGAGAAGTTCCTCAGCACTTAAACGCTTAAGATAATCATAGCGGGCTTTTTGTACAAGTACTACAAGTTGCGTAGGGATTTTAAACTTCTAAAAGCCTAGGTGTATGCAACTTGCATTACATTTTATTAAAATGGTTGTCTATTGTTGATATTTAAGTTTTAAATCAGATAAAACTCAAATACATATTAAAAGTGTTGAGTTTTGCGCTCTTTCTCTAGTGGCGTTGCGAATCCCACCCAAGTGGCTGAGTGGCTTTCCAGCCACCATGTGCTTTAGTCAGTAGTTAGTTAAGTTTGTTACTTCGTCGAGGGTAGTTCTTTTATGTAAAACTAAGCAACACTGGATTGTTATTGGCGTTTAAATAATAAACTCTCACTTCTTGTTAAAATTTCAACTTTACGCAACAAAAGTAAGGTTATAAGGTTTTTAAATAAATTATTATATTTTAAGCTTTTCCCAAAATTTCCGCGTAGATTTTATTAAAATGCGTCTAAAATACTAATATGGCACTCTAACGCCATCTCGAATTGAAATATATAACTATAAATATGATTAAATCTCCATATCAATTTTCTATCCTTATTTTAAGCCCTTTAAGTTAGATTTTTGCAACAAAAAGTAGCCTATTTGCTTCTCCTAAGTCAAAAATATCTCGATACCAAAATTTATCAAAATTAATTCATTGAATTTTGCATGAAAGCGACACTAACAAACAAAGCTCATATTTGTGATAATATTATTCAAGGTGTATTTATAACATGAATTTGTAGCATTATTTCCTAAATTGAATCAAAAATCTTGAGATTTAATAAATGCGAGATCAGAAAGAAGAAAAATGACAGACAAATAAAATATTCAGCTACAAAGTTAGCACTTGACAATGTCATTTAATAATATTTTGTATTATCTTTAATTGAAATTTAATGATGAACTTTTTTTTGTCTTTTCATTCACTATTCAATGCAATAAGTATTTGCATGTCAAAGCAGTTTCAAGCAAATCTATACCTATAATACATTCCATGATTAAACTTGCCAAAATCAGCTTTGATCATCAACCTGCCAAGCCGCAAATTACAAATATTACATACATGACATACCCACAACTAAAATAGACGAGAAATTCAATTTAAATCCAAATTGGGATTTAAATTACTAAATTTTAATTTCAAATTATTATACCTACGAGTTTACATATAGTCTGTGTGTACTTGTATCTAGTTATTTGAATACTGAATGCAACCTGTCGACATGCCGCGGTGACTGTGGCGACGGCGGTGGAAACATGAAATGCACATGAATCGTTCAGATTCTCTAACCTGTGACAATCGCGTCGGCAGTTTCGGTGGATCATGTGGTAAAGTGTCGCAGGGAGGCGTGCTCAAATGCCACGGTAGATTTAATATTTAGGTCACAATTCACAGCAAACATTACCAAAACGTTAGCGAAAATGCATTAGGTACTTGAATATTAAGAGAAGTTTATGTTGAATTTGCATAGGAGGTTTCTATTCACAGTAATTTTATGAATTTAAAGTGTAAAAAAATTATAGAAACAAAAGTAGTAGTAATTTAATTAAATGCAATAAGCATGTTTATAATTAAGTTTTAGTCAACATTAAAATGTGTTTCTGTAAAGATTTTTTTATAGGGACCCCACAACACATGTGTGTATACAAAGTTGTATAACTCCAAGGCATATATTTAATACTAGCTTTAACCCGCGGCTTCGCTCGCGTTGAATCCATCAAATAAATATTTGAAATCATTATACATAGTTGAAACGGATTGATAGAAAGAATGTATATTTCACTGCTTGGCTAGGATTATCTATGTGAAAAAAATACTACATGCAATAAAGTTTTAAATTTTAGATGGAATGCTAGATGGCGTTAAAGTAGTCAATTAGCCAGATGCAGAGGTATTATTGGCTAAACAATTTCTTTATTTTATTTAAAAATTTTTTTTTATTAAATAAAAAAGTAGCCTATAACCTATCGGGGACCACTAAGAATATGTGTACAAATTTTCATGATGATCTGTTAAGTAGTTGAAAGCACGATAAACTTCAGGACATACGCATTTATAATATTAGTAAGGATATATTTAATCTATGTTAGAATTTTGCATTTTAATTTTCATGTAGGATCTAGTTGTTAATAAAAAATGTTTCATGCTTGGTTGATATACCGCATCTCAACAATGTGAAAATTTTCCTAATATAAGTTTTATTGCTCATTTTCACGCAATTAAATAAATACCTGTACATTCACTTCAACATCGATTGAATAAATCAATTCTTTATGAGCTTCCGACAGCTTTGAAAGTTCAATGTCACGCTCATTGTCCTCGCACGCCGAGTGAAACATTGAGCCGCTTAGTTTCAGCATTTCAAGGTGTTTTTCATATTAAGTTCTGCGGTCGGCATCGTTAACGGTGTTGTTATCGCAAATGGCCGATAAAATGCCGAGGAGCGTCTGCCGACTGCGACAGCCGAATACACGGGAATTGCAAACGGCGAACAAAAAGCGAAAGCAACTAAAAGGAACAATGACGCGTTGCTTGGCGGCGCGTTTGTGAAATTATTCGCAGTGGAGGTTTTTCGCCCGCGGCGCGTCGACGAACAATGCTATTACATTAGTCTAAATGCGTTCAAGCACAGCTTCAATCTTACACTTACAATCTTTGTCAACTGCGTAAGAAGAAAGAAACAATTCTCATTAACGTTTATGTTATAGAACATGTATGCAATTTAATGCATTTAATTAAATTACAACTACTTTTACCTGTTTCATTTTTTGTTGACAGTAAATTCATAAAATTATTAAGAAACTAGCTTTAACCCGCGGCTTCGCTCGCGAATATCTAAAATAATGAAGTTGCTTCCGTACGCGTCTGTAGTCACAGAAGAAGTAACAATGAAGTAGAATGGCGGGAAGTTTAAAATGGCTGAAAGTATAGTCTATGGAAGTATAGTGTACAGTCTCCATAGTGTAGTCAATTGGATTTGATGTTGACGTAGCTGTCGGTAATACAGTGTGATAATACAGTGTGAT